CTGCAGTGCAGTGGCGTGACCACAGCTCACTGCAGCCTCAAAGTCCTGGATTCAAGTCATCCTCTCACCTCGGTCTCCTGAGTGCTGGAACCACAGGCGTGTGCCACAATGCCTGGCTAATATATATATATATCTATATATATATATATTTTGAGATGGAGTCTTGCTATGTTGCCCAGGCTGGTCTTGAACTCGTGGCCTCAAGCGATCCTCCCACCTTGTCCTCCTGAATAGCTAGGATTATAGGTGCAAATCACCAAGCCTGGCCATTTAAACTTTTTAAAAACAGACTATCAGGAAAGAAGAGTTTGGAGAAATTGTGGAAACATGCCTCAGGGTAGGGCCTCCCCAGCTTGCCGTGAGAGGGCCCTGCCTGCCCTCGTATCTAGGAAGCACAGGCCTGTCAGGTGTGACTGTCCCCTGCCTGCCTTCTCCCTCTCGGAACAGGCCACCGTTACCTTTCTTTGATATTTGGCTACACTGCCTTCTTCCACGCTCTTTCTGCCTGTGTCAAGTTTCTCTCAGCCTGAAGAGTAAAAGCTTCTCCCTCTCTTATCCTGTCTTCTGGCCACTGCCCCATCTACATGCCTTCTTTCAAAGTCAAGCTTATTATCATTTTTAAAAGCCTAGGTCACTTGTGTCCTGGTTTTTAGATTTCACATACCAGTAAAATGTAAAAACACATTTTGGGGTCAACTTAAAAGACCCCAACTACTCCCCAGTATCACTATGATTTCAGAGTAGAAAGGATGGTTTAAAGGAAGACACATATCCTCCATAAAGGTAGGCCTGCCCAAAAAAGGAAAGCCGATAATAGATTTTTAAAAAGGATTCCCTGTAACTAATGTATACATCCATCTCCTGTTCCTTCTGAAACTAGAATTACAGTGAATGGGCAAAAAGGATATAAATGAGGGATGTCAACGTTTTTTTGGAAGATGCAATGCAAATGTGAAATGGTTCTGATTTACCAGAGAAGTGGAAGGGCAACTCCTACACCCACACAGGGCTCAGGACGTAGAGCCCTAGCTACTGCAGAAAGAGGGGAGGAGGCTAAAAATGAGAATTAGTGAAAGTCTGAATTTAACTGATTAGACCAATCCCAACATCCAGACCCAGAGACCTTTGCTGCTGGGCCTCTGAGGTTCATCTACTGTATTGAGAAACTGACCCGGAGAGGCCCCTTTTAGTTCTCTTTGACATTTAAACCATAGGCTACTTTGATGAAGATAAAAATTAATCAAAAAAAGGATTGTCAAAATATTTTCTAATGCAAAAAATCAAATATAAGATTTTCTTTTCCAATGTTAAATTGTATGCAACTGTTTTCTAGGAGTAAGTGTTGCCACTTTAGGGATAAGCATTTGGCGATGCAATGAGACATGCGGTGAGGCTTGCTGTTCTGGTGACAGATCGCTGGAAACCCCGGCTCCTCTGGTGTGCCCTCACACAAATGGAAGATGTGGCCAGTCCCCCCCGACACTGGCAATTCAGGCCTGAAAGGGAGGAGGCGGCAGCCAGCCTCCACGAGCACATGGGCATGGTGGAAAACAGGCTGAAGGGCCAGGCCTTGGCCTACAAACTGTGGGCTTCAATTTCTTTCAATGAAACCTTTGCAAATGGCTCTAGTCTTTAATCAATCCCTCTTTCAGTTCACCCCTTCCTAGTCACTCAAGTTATCTGTCTTTATTATTATCAAATAGTGGTGAGGCCTCACTATGTTGCCCAGGCTGGTCTTGAACTCCTGACCTCAAGTGATCCTCCTGCCTCAGCTTTCCAAAGTGCTAGGATTATAGGTGTGAGCCATTACACCCAGCCAAATGATCTTTCCATAATGTGTTACTCCCCTCATCTCAAACATTTAAATGCCATGGCATTGAAAATGTTCCCAAAGCTTGTAATAAAGTTCAAATAATTTAGTACGGTCTTCAAGGCCTCTCATGATTTGCCCTGTCCCATCTTTCCAGTCTCATTTCCCTCACTCTCTTGCAGGTACCCTGTGCTCTAGGTACCCCCCCTTCCCCCAGACTACTCTCAGTTCCCCCAATCTAGCAGCCACACTCTTGGGCCTTTGCTCAGGTTGTTCACAAGATAGACTTGTCCCCCACTCTTTCCCTTCATACTTGGGTCAGCTTTCCCTTGTTGTGGGACCTGCCCCATGCCAGCCCCATCAATGCTGGGGCAGCCTCCTCTGGATTCTCAGGAAGCCCAGGGACAGGCATGGATAAGCTGGCTGGGCTAGTTGATGCATGTCTGCAACAGGCCTTCCCACTTGACAGAGGGTTCTTTCAAGATCAGGCGTGGCTCTGGCTTATTTCATGTTCCTCACAGTATGAAGTAAAAAGTGTACCACAAGTTGCTATCAGCATAGCCTCAAGGGTCATGTATTGCTGGCCTCAACCAATGTGCAGCTGGACCCTCTCCCTACCCTCTAGACTCAAGGCCTGGGCCTGAGTGTATACATGTGAAGACCGTACAACCTCGTCAGCCCCTTGCCTCCTCCCTGTGTATCACAGTCATGTTCTCCTCTGGTCAAAACAGGCAAAGTTAACAAAATTACCCAAAATGCCCAGTGGCAAGGCCAAGACACCTGTGCGATCCTCCAGGGAACCCACATGCTGGCAAGTAGCAAGCAAAACCAGAAGCAACGGTCAGCCTCATTTCACTGCTCCTGCCTTTGGGTTCCATTCAGTTCCAAAAGCTCCAGCCTTGGGGAACAAGTCCCCTGTTTTACAACTACAGAGACTACAGTGTGCAGGGAGATCTTTTCTAAATGAGCGACCATCTGGGTTAGGGCTGGTGTGAACAGAGACTAAAAGAGTTGTCGAAGGTAAATTTCTTTCACCCTGGCTGTGATGTGTTTGGGTTTCCTATGATGTGAGCCCATGCCCAATACTGTTGTTAAAATAGTTCTTATATTATCATGAAAGATTTCTCCCAGAATAAAACGAAGCAAGGTTCCATTGCAAAAATGTATCTACTGGCTGGTGCTGCCATAATCAGAATGATCTTCGGAACATCTGACCTTATCTTGCTGTTCTCCTTCACAGTTCTTCAGTGGTTCTAGTGGCCCACAGGATAGAAAGTCCAAACCCCTTTGCAGGTATTTAAACTCTTCACGTCGGCCACTGTTCAGTTAAGCCTGGTGATCCACTAATCCCCACTCACTTCACATGCCAGCCACATGAACTACTTGAATGAGGTTCTCCAAGCACGCACCTCCATGCCTTCTGCCTGGTGGAGGTTCCTCCTCTTCCTCCGAGAGCTAGCCCCAGCCTCTCTCCTCCTCATCTTGGGTCCTCTTCACTGATGCTCCTCCTCGGCTCACTATACAGGCTTCCTGGAGGCAGCAGCCTCATTCATCCTCACTGCTTGCATGTCTTGTCCCCAAGGAGGCTATAGAGTCCTTAAGGGAGGGATTAAGTCTCCATCTTTGAGTGGCCAGCAGTCAGCAGGTGCCCATGAGTGTTTTCGCTATCATGAATGAAACCTACCCTCTAAGATTTAACATGTGTCCCTTCTAGGGACTGCGTGATTAAGGTGGGTGAGACTTAAGGTGATGAGGCTGTTTTGGAACAAGAGCTCCCAGCCCAGAAAAAAAGCAATGTAAAAAATACTACATTCAAGACTCATCCAAATTAAGCTGTTTTTGAAAGACTCCATCTTCTGTACTCCACCGCAGACAGGGAAGAAGCACATTCTGCCACACCTGGGTGAGGAAATGGTCCCCACCCAAAGCTCCCAGGGAAGAGTAAGTGGTGAGGACAGCCATACACCTTAGAAGCCCAGGAGAGGGAGGGCATGATGGGAGTCATTTCATAACCCCGCATGCCTTGAGACCCCAGTTCTCCTATTTTCTACGTAGAGTTTTTGGTCTACTGCCACCTTAAATAAACGCATGACCATCCCACTGTAGGGGTTTAAGACCTCTCTCTCACATAGCCATTTTGACATGGGATTAGATTAAATCGCCTCAGTGTCTCTGACCTAGCAGCCTCATGTCCCTGGCAAGGGAAAGGGGAGGGGCTGGAGGCCTGGAAACCCAGCATGCACTAAGTCGGGCGACTGCCCTTGGAAGAGAGATGATTAAATGCTGAGGTACAGTAATCAGGCTGGGACTGTCCCCACATCTGCTCAGCCTGCTCCTGATTAGCCCTAATCTAGAGGCACATGGTAATCCTAGTTTGTATTCTGGGTCATTTCAATTGATTAAGCAACAGGAAGCCCTTTGTGTTCTACTTTAAGGGGTGGAAGTGCTCCTTTTTCTTTCTCACAGGGCCCCTAGAGAGTCCTAGTAATAAGACTCCCTTGGCCTCAGTACAGCCCCTTCCCAAGCCCTCTCATACCCACTGCATGTCACTTGACTTTGGCGGAGACCCTAGAAAGGTCCACAGGGCAGGGCTCCTTACCCTTTGCAAGTGAGAACCAGAACCACGGGCTCATCATAAAGGCACATACTTCTAACATCCTGAAGATTCTAGTACCCCTGTATTTCAAAGCTACACAAAACCTTAAGAGTTTAGTAAATACAACCCGTCTTTTTATTTGAACTCAAAAGTAAACGTAACAATTTTATAAAAAAAAAAAACAAAACAAAAAAACCCAAAAACCTCAATAAAGACCGAGGACTGATTTTGTTCCCCAAACGACTGAGTTTATGGTAAAGCCAGGGGCCCAGGCCTTTGATTTGGGAGTGTTTCCATATATCAGAATGTCCTTAGCACCTAACATGAGGGCTAGGAAGGACTCAGAAGGGAGAGGGATGTCCTCTTTGGGCCCCCTGCTGCTTTTCTTCTCAAGCTTCATGGTAAGGTTTATAGAATTGGTCAAAATGGAAAAAAGGTCATAGGTGACTCAGAAACTTCAGGTGCCAGCACAGAGATTTCCTTGTCAAACAGCAGTCGGACCCATATCTCTGGAAGAACTCCTGGCTGCAGGACCACATTCCCTTGGCAAGGACAATGAGGCTTGACACAGCTCTTTTTTTTTAATGAGTTGAATATCACTCTTGAGCTAAAATGGTGAAACATGCTTTTCCTAAGTCCCTCTCTTCCCAAATGAATGACAATGACATTCTTCTAGTTGCTCAGGCCAAAAGCTTTGAAGTCATCCTTGACTTCACATCCAACACACCAGCTAATGCTCTCCCTTTGAATACAGACCCCAAATTCCACACTTTTCCTCCTGCCTCCCCAGACGAACACTACCACCCTTTGCCTTCCTTTGTGATCACCCTACCTTAGCACTTGCCAAAGGGATCTTTTAAAACTTCCATACAAAGTGATGCCTCTCAAATCACATTACAAGGGTGGCAGATTGTATCTACTCAGAAGCCTGGCCTTGCACGCTGCAGAGTGAGCAGCATGACGCTTTATAGTGGTCTGTCTCTGATGGCGGCACCAGGGGAACACTGTGGTAGACCAGGGGCGCCAATGAGAGTTACTTTAAAGGTTAGGGTCACAGCCTTGTACACTCTAGATTTATCATTCACGAGCCAATCTACTCTATTCCAGATCTCTCCTGGGGCAGCGAGTTTCATCACTTGCCTATTGTATATGGAATTTACACATATACGCATATGTGCATGTATACATGGAAATGGAATTTATTTATTTGGGGGAATTAATTTTTCCCAAGGCTAACTTCTTTCAGTATTCAGTATTATTGGATGAAGAAGTATATATAACATGGTTAACTACATTGTCAAATATTGTTTGGAAAAAGCCATCCCATCCCACCAAAAAAATTCCTTTGCTTCCTCCTATCAGGAAAATAAAATACAAATAGCTAACAGTTGGAGGAGTTTACATATAGCCTCTTCCATAAACACCCTACACCATCCTCTCATTACAGCCACGTGTCCCCTGGATACCACGTGAGCTTCCTCAGGCAGGTTCCTCTGTCTGGAAATATGCCCTGCCACTCAGTCCAGTTCTTCTGACAGTTTCCACACAGTGCATGGGGTTGCCTGAGGGGACAGCCCACCAGGTTTCTCCCTCCTGTGACTTTTTTGCCGCCACCATTCATTTGGCCCCTGGTATGTGCTGACCTGTTCCCAAGGAGTTGCTGCTTTTCTCTCTATAAATCTGCAAGCTTGCATTGTTGGCAGGACTGTCTTTGAATGCTGAGCAACTGGAACACAGTAGGTGCTCAATAACTGAGTATATGAAAATGTGTAACCGATCATACTCTTCATAATTTTCAGAAACTTGGTGCTGCTCCCTTTAGTCTTGCCCTCCACAGACCGAACAGCCTTAACAGCTTTGACTCTGATCCAGAATGAAGCCGAATTTTCTCCACAACAACATTCTTATGGTGCGGTAGTTCAGGTGCATTTTATGTGAGGAAAAAACAGGCTGTTTATTTCCATTAAAGGCTTCTGAGTCAAAAAGACCTACATGTGAACCTTGGTTCTGCTATTTAATGGCTTGTGAGCCTGTTTCCTCATATAGAAAATGGTGAACACTCATCTCACAGGGCTGCTGAACCACAGGGGATGACAGAGTAAATCTACTACAGTGCTTGGCACATAGTAGGGATATAATAAACGCCACTGCTTTTCGAAGATGACTTTGAGTACGACGTTTGATGGAGTCTGGCTGGGGTCACAGACGTTAGACTAAAGCTCTCAAGAAACAGAAAGAACAGCAGAGACAGCACAGATCTCCTTTCAGCAGTGATTTTCTCCTGCCAGGAAGCATATCATCCGTCAAAGGCCTTCGAAGATGTAAAGATGAGAGATAAAAGCCATGAAATCAAAGCAGACGGACTGGCAGGCAGCTTCCCGTCTGAAACAGCGATGGCCAGGACTGGCACTGGCACTGCACCATGATGTAGACAAAGCAGTTGCTAATCTAGCACACTGGTCAATAAGCAACCAGGCAAAACCACTCCTCAATAGTAAGAGTGTTGAAAATACGATCAGGGCAGTCTGATGTGATGTCATCACCCTGATATATTTCTGAACTCCTCCAGAAACTAACAGGCTTGAGCCAAGCAGAGCACAGTGCTGCAGGGCTGTCAAAGTTATCCAGCAGCAGAGCTGGCCCTCCCCTCACTCCAAGACAAGATAGAGCAGGACAGACAGCCTGAGGAAGAATGGGCCTTTCATTTGCCCTCACAGCCTGGGAAACCTTTGGGAATTGTTGTTTGCTGTAACTGAATCTTTCAGCCCAAAGGCCTTCCAAGTTGGTCATGGAAATAGCTTTAGTTGTGAGAAAAATACTGATGGCTGTTGAGAGAAAAAGAGCGAAACAAATAATAAACATGACAGTTGGTGGAAGGGAAACACTTCTTAAAACCCAAGGGAAAATTTACATTCTGTAATGCCTTCTGTAGTTTATGAACATGAACGCTAACTACGTACATCAGGGAAATACTGGCCCAAACGGGAACCAGGACCATGATTAAAGGAGAGGAATGCATGAGTAAGAAATGAAATTACAGATTATATTGCTTGAGATTTTAAGGAGCCAGGAAGGGTTTCTACAGGTGTTTGTAGGGGTGATAGGCAGAAGGAAGTCCTTTAAAAATCTTCCATTTACAGGCTTGGAAAAATATTTACATCAATGGCTGACGTCTAAGGAAAGCCACTATGTGAAGAAAAACATACATGGTATGTGCCAGTATAGAAGCGGAAGAAGATAACAGGAAATCAGTAGAGAAGCTAGTCTAGTAGGCAGGCAGCAGTTAGAGAGGCTGAGAATACCAAGGACTAGATGGAAAGAGGACATATGTAGGGCAAGAAAAGGAAGGGCATGAAAAGAATGTCAATGTCAAACCAAAAGGAGGTCCGAGTAACCTCATGATAGTAGGGCAAGCGGGGGGAGGGAAAAAGCGTTTCTTTCCCAGTGGTTCTGTTTCTGTTCTATTAGCTGCTCCTGGGATATTTAATCTCCCTTTTCTGTGTGTCCTAAGTCCAAGGCTTTTGGGTACATTTGGGGGATTTATGGATTAAAATATGTCTTACATCTGTGAAGTACTGAATATTCTCATGAAGCCGAGAGCAGCCTCACGGGTGTGCTCGTGTACAGGCTGCTTTTCGGCACCCAGGGTTTGTCTTCCATCTTGCTGGACCATCTCAAGACTAAGAAAAACTCCTTCTGGAATAACATTCAAAGCAGTGATCTGGCTGAGAGAGGGTCACTCTATCTTTTGCCTGATTTTGCAGACCACCAGGAAGCTTTTCATGCCCCTCGTCCCACAAACCAAGTATGAAAACTGAATTCATTTTTACTTTATTAGTAAATGTATTTCAAAACCTATTTTAGAGATATAATTTCCTCTTGAAATTACTGGAGATGCCCAGGACATTGATGAAGTCAGGGTTCTGTGTTTCAGTGCTCAGAACCACCATGGTTTATTACCCTCAAAATTGAGCTCCCAATGTGGGGATGAACAAGCTAACTTCAAGGCCTACTGATCTTGCCAAGAAGGCTTTAAACTGAAAATGGCAGGAAAGAAAGCGTTCTGCTAAAGCCTGTGGAATATGCACGTGCTCTGGAGCAGTGGTCCCAAGCATTTTTGGTACCAGGGACCAGTTTCGTGGAAGACAGTTTTTCCATGGATGGCAGGATTGGTGGGGGTGGTTTGGGGATGAAACTGTTCCACCTGAAATCATCAGTTCACAAAAGGGTTCGTTCTCCTATGAGAATCTGATGCTGCTGCTGCTCTGACAGGCAGTGATGCTCGTGCACCTGCCACTCACCTCCTCCTGTGCCAGAGGCTGGGGATCTCTGCTCTGGAGGACATCTGATCTGACTGTACAGACGAAAGGCAAGGGGTACACAGTAAATTCCCAGAAGAAATCACTAGGAAGAAGGGTAGGAACAACGCTCAAGGTTGAAGTCTGTGTCCCAGAGGATAGAAATGGCACTATGCAGGGTGCAGCAGTATTTTAAAATGGAAAGTGAATCCCAGATGACAAACCTCAGAAGAAGGAAGTCACCAACAGTCTGCAACAGTCAAGTGCAGAAATGAACAGCAGGCCCAATCAGGAGTTACTCGGAGTTAGGAATGGAGATTTGTTTATTTTTTTATTATTTTCAAACTTTTTATGATGGAAAACTTCAAACAGGCACCAGGAGAGGGAGTAGTACAGTGAACTCCATGTGCCTGTCATCCAGCCCCTGCCTCTTCTATCTGAGCAGGGATAGGCTGAGGCAGGGAAGCTTCCAAAGATGTACTCTTGACTTTTCATCCCCTCACTCAGCATAATCTGTAGAGCACCACTTAGGAAAAAAACCACAAAAAAACCAAAACTTTGTAAGAGCACATAAAGGGCAGAATTAAATTTGCGTTAGGCAGTGAGATGCCCGAAAAAAGCAGAACCAACAGTAGAAATAGACAGTAATGGGGCTTTAGAGTCAGATGGAAAGAAATCTATCCCAATACACTTTATCTTGATCAAGTTTTTATCCTGCCTTTCCTATCTGAACTGTACTTAGCATAGGCAAATTGTTCATGGGGACAAGTTCTTCATAAAAGAATCCCAACTAGAGGTGGGAGGATCACTTGAGGCCAGGCGTTTGAAGCTGTAGTGTGCTATGATCATGTCTGGGAATAGCCACTGCCCTCCAGCCTGGGCAACGTAGTAGTAAGACCCTGTCTCTTAAAAAATAAATAAATAATTCCAGCCAATAAATGAAAAGGGAACATTTAACACTAGAAAAATCAGATTATCAATGGTTACTAAAACTATCAGGTGACCGAGTAAGGGGGACTGCACAGTAGAGGAATCCCACCATCCATGCAGGAAGCAGCACCTGGAATGACAGCCTCACAGTCACTCTATCCTCCAGCTGCTTCCTTCTTTCCCCAAAGATGAACCCACCTGTGGCTTTGTCAGTCAGGATCCACTTGCGACCTGCACGATCTGCCATAAAGAGGCCTGACAATAACACAGAACTGTTAAAAAAAAAAAAAAAAAGCACCGGGCAAGATGGGCCACCAGCCCCGCTGCGGCGCTGCAGCTTCCCGTGCACATCCGGTGCCGGGTGCACAGCCTTGCTCCTTCCACCCGTGAGGAACGCCTTCCGTAAGCATGCCAGCGCTGAGTGCCAGTGTGCACTCAGACCACCAGATCTTAGTTTGGTTGAAGGGAGGGAGGTCATTTCCCTCGTATTACCCCCTTGCAATTGGAATTTGTGATGTGATTTTCCTGTAGCAGACTTACCTTCCTAATTATGTCTTCTTTAAGCTAATATGTAAACTAATTTATATTCCCTAAGTACCCAGCAGCTGGGTCAGGGGGTGGAGGAGATGGTCTTGGCTTACAATGGCTTGCTTAGAGAAATTGTCCAAGGATTTAAAATGTGTCACAAGTAATCTGCATGACAGATAATCTGTAGGTAACAAGTAAGAGTTGACTATACTCACATTTGTAAAACCAACAGGCCACTTCTGTATCTTAGGACCGCTATGAGGATAAATAACATCATGCTTGCATGATTTTAATTCTTGAGACAAAAGACACTGTCTAAATTTGAGGGAGTATTGTTATTTTACATGGGCTTTCTCCAGGAGTTAAAGCAACTGTGCAGCAGCTACCAGACATAGACAAATGGAAGAAGCAAGAAGAAAGGGCCTGTCCTTGTCCCAAGAGCTGCTGAAAATGGAAAGTGTTGGCAGCCCAGTGTTCCACACCCAGCAGCATTGTCCACACAATGCACGCTTCGTTTACACACTCTTAGCCTGAGTGTTCACATGCCCTCTTGTTTTAATAAGATGCTCCGTTTAATGAGAAAAGGACTGTCTGGTCCAACAGCAGGGCTGTGAAAGCTTAATTAGGAGAAGGCCAAGGAGAGGGTCAACTGAAAGTGGACATTCCTAAAATTAAATTCCCTTCTCATTGGCTATATTTCAGCATAAATATATTTTAACAAGGAGTAGGAGTGGGGAAAGGACATGAAATTCTTGGAGACAAAAAAATACAAAAAGGTGAAAAAGAATACAATCTAGGTAACATGGCTGGAGGAGTTCTTCCAGAAACATTCGGGCAAATTTCATTTTTCCCTTCCAACAGGACTGCAATAGGAACTCCCAGGCTTCCTTAAGCAGTTGAGGCATTTCAAGAGGTTCAGACCAATCTCAAACAGTGCAGTCCACTAGAGCTTCCTGTGATGATGGGCCCGTTCTGTTTGAGTGCTGTCCAACACGGTGGCTACAGAACGCTTGAAATGTGGCCAGCGTGACTGAGGAACTGATTTTTCAGTTTTATTCTGTTTTAATTAAGTTTAAATAGCCAGAGCACAGCTCTAAAACCTTTCCAGAGCTTCCAGTATGCCAACTCTGTATCATAAACATGCCTCCAACAGACACGTGCACTCAGACTGTGTAACATTCTAACAGTTGCCTTTGTTTAAATGGAAACTCAATCTGAAATTGGATGCTTTGTATTCACCTAAAATATAGTTTTTCTTGGCATTTCCCTTATTTAAATCACAGGTTCTTTCCTTTACTTATTTTAACACCCTCCAGCCCCCTAGGCCTCTACAGGGGAAACTAACAGCATTCGAGAGCAATGCAGTGTAGATGCACGTTATGGTGCTATAAGGAATGAGGAGAGGCTGGGCTGGGCGGAGTCAGAAGGGCTGCTGGACACCTCTCTAGTGATCCAATCTGATAGCATGGTCTTTGTAGTCTAGCTCACACCAGTGTCTCGGTTTCCATATTTAGACCCCTTCCATGATTCTCAGATCCAATTGCTAGGCTTTACGACGGCAAAGATTTTTTAAAAAATCAATTTCACTTAGAAAATCCCATTTAGACTCTGAAAAATCTCTAAATTGGGGCCTTTCTAATAATGAAGATTTGGTGTAATTATAATGTCACAGGCAATTGTGCTGACAAAGCAAAACCAACATGTCTCCTTGCCAGGCCTTTGCTCTCAGTCTGACCAACAGGAGGAGAAAAGAGGCTTTGTCAGGAGCAGATGTGCACTGGGAGGCCCCAGGAAAGCAGATCTGTTGAATGAAGCAGGTGCCACTTAGACATTCACTTTACTGACTCCAACTACAACCTCCCCTTCATTTGATATCCTCCTCTTGGCAGGAGGATGGAGAAAGAGCATCACACAAAGAGGAAGCATGTTTATCCTGTTCAGATTACTGCTTCTGCCAGGCTGATGCTGGGTTCTGCACATTTGCTCTTTATTAAGCAAATGTTAGAGCTGGGTGCTGGGAAGTGAATCCCTGTATTTACACAGGTAACCTGAGAGCCAGGGGGCCCCAAACCATCCTGGCTGCAAGGTACATGCTATTAGAGTTAATAACAGTACACTGACATTCCTTCAAAATCTAATGGAAGCATAAATAAAAAGAGGAAAGTCCCCTTTACCCAAGAACCTGAAAAACTTTATTCTATAATTTTTCCTGTTCTAATATTCTGATTCTTGTGTGAATCATGATTAATGCCCTTTTTACATGCTCAGTTAAAACCCACTTTTCCATCCATGTATTGAATAGAAATGATTCCAATTAAACTTGTCCAATTATGGCTCTGGATTTGGAGTGTCAGAAAAAAAAAATCCCTTTACAGAATAGCGCTCACAATGACAGACACAAGATTCAGTCTTGGTTTATAAAGAGCTGGAATAATCTACGACCAGAATCTACCTTTATATACAAAGACTTGGAAAGATCTGCAGACCTAAAGGGAAGGAGAATGAGATAAAGAAACATGTAACTTGGCCTTGAGGACACCGTGGATGGAGGGGAGACCACAGTCAGTGGTGTCCATCTGCCAGATGGCAGGGACCTTCTTGGGAATCTTTCCGGAAGCCCCGACCTGAGTTGTCTGCCTGGAATGTCCCTGGCTCAGATTGGTGTTCTGTTCACAGAATGGTGTGCTGGCTCATCAAGTCTCCCCAAGCTGAGAATACCTGACACAGGCAGACCAAAGAGTAAATGAATTTGCATCTACTGAAGTACAGAAAAACAAAAAGACAGTATATGAAGGCATACCAAGGGGGCTTGACAACTTGTGCGAATTCCCTTTGGGGCCCTGACACTTCGACTGGAGGCAACCAGCCTTTCACATGAAAAACATCTAAAAGCTGTATCTGAAGGATATGGCCATGCTCAGATGAGCACTAAGAATAGACACTGACAGCCAGTGGCCTATCATCTTATTGTAAAGGCCTCTATATCCACTTCCGATCTCAGTCTTTAAGCCTTCAAATAGCAGAGCCTAGATTAGCAATTCCTGGCCTACAAATGATGAATGCCCGAAACCGCTCCAGTTTATAATGGTAGAGAATGACACATCCCCTCTGGACACGCAGATTACACGAGGAGCCTAAACCTGCAAAGAGGGGCAGGAGATACCCTCAGGAGGCAGTGCTGGTCCTTCTGAAGGTGTCCACAGTTCAGCACCTCTGCAGAGACAAAGAAATGCACCAAAGAACCCTGGCAACTGGAAATCTCTCCAGCTATGGGGGTTATGCCTGAGGAGCAACAGGAAAGGCCTGGTAATTCTAGAGAACAGAAACTTAGTATGCCTGAGGGATATGACGTACTTCCACCAGGAACACAGGCTTCCTGACGCCGGGATCCTTGTGGGAGATTCACTACCGCCTCTCTGCAAATGAAGACTCACCGGCCTAGTCTAAGCATGTGTGCCAGAAGTACTAAGAGTGAACCTCTGAAGGCTAGTTCCCTTCCCATTCAGTGTGAGTGATTAATAATGATAATGGGAATAGTCATAATAGCAGTTGCAGTAGTGGTGGTCAAGAGTTATTGCATGCCTGTGATGCCCCAGCCGCTAAAGAGAGTAGGACTCAGTAGTCTCTGCTCCCCCCTCAAATTAGTGCCATCAATACATCTCCCAGGATGGGGGAGACTGGGGAGTCAGGAAAACTGCCACCTCTTTCCAAGAGCTATTTTGGAAGGCACTTTGGACTTTAGGAGGTCATCATGAAGACAGGAAGGAGCACCCGTTTCAGAAGTGAAGAATCACCACTCAGCTGTCCCTTCCCTTCCTCAACACCATGAAAAAGGTTGGGTGAGAAACACACATGGGGCAGAGTACTGTACCCCTCTTTGAGTGTCTAGAATCAAGGGCCCCAGTGAACATCTCTGTGCTCCCATTTCTCAGCAGCAGCTCTGTTTCACTGTGAAATCTAGAATTCATCCAGTAGTCATGGCTCCTTTCAGCCTTGTGACCCATCAGGCTTTGGATATTTGATCTTTTGGCGGGCTACTATAAATCCATTAGAGCACCTGGATGCAGATACCTGCAGCCTAGAAGAGAAAGCTGCACTTGTGAGGAATCCAAGCGGAAACATGCAGGTGACCTGAGTCATGAATACACTAACTAGGAAGTGAGTCTAGGTGTTGCCACTCAGGTTTTCCGGCTTGGACTCTGCAGTGCATAAAAACAGATCAGTTCTCCTTGCAACCCTCCCACCCTGCTGTTTACTGGCTGCGGATTACTGCAGTCACATGGGTAGGTTTTTTTTTTTTAAAGCCATGCTGTTTATGAGCTGAGAAGGTTACTGGAAGACAAGGCTCATGAAGTATTCGTGTTGTCCTCCCCTATGCAGAGGGGGTACAACCTGCCAGAAGACCTCAGTGTTATTGCTATAGCCCTTAGACCAACACTACCGATTAGAACTGTCTCCAATGATGGAAATGTTCTGTATCTACAATCCATTAAAGTAGCTACTAGGTCCATGTGCCTATTTAAATTTAAATGTGAATACATTATAATTAAATTAAAAATTCAGCATCTCAGGCCATATGTGGCTATTCAGCACTTGAAATATGATTGTGACTGATAACTACCTTTTAAATCTTATTTCATTTAAATTAACGTGCATTTAAATTCAAATAGCCACATGTAGCTAATAGCTATCATACTGGACAGTGCAGATTTAGATGTTAGGTTTTG